GAAGAAGAAGAAGAAGAAGAAGAAGAAGAAGAAGAAGAAGAAGAAGAAGAAGAAGAAGAAGAAGAAGAAGAAGAAGGAGAAGAAGAAGAAGAAAAGGAAGAAGATGATGATGATGATGATGATGATGATGACGAAGATAAGAAAAAAAGACAAGGAGGAGAAGGAAGAAGAGGAAAGTTGTTACGAAGTCCACAAAGATGAAAGCCTGAGACAGCTGTGACAACACCTCCGCGCACTCAGTTTCCGCTCAGCGACAACAGCGTCATCATCACCACCAGCGACAACAACGCGGAAACAGCAAACACATGCGACATCACCAGCAGCATATGTAGCAGACACCAAGACATGTTCTTTTGTCCATTAGAAAAACAGAAAGGTCAAAACTGCAATATCAACTACAACAACAATAACAGAAACAACAACAACGACGACAACAGCAACAACAACAACAACAATAAGAAGAATAACAACATCAGCAGCAGCATATGTAGCAGACACCAAAACATGTTCTTTCATCCATTAGATAGGTGAAAACAACAATTACTACAACAACAAAAACAACAACAACAACAACAACAACAGCAGTAACAAGAGCAGTAGCAGCAGCAATTTATAACTTCAAACTTAGCATATGTATCAGACGCTACATCAACCTCAACAACAACAACAACAATAACAACGAGAACCAAAAAACAACCGAACAACAACAACAATAACAACAACAACCTGACAAACAAGCAAACAACAACTGCAGCAGCAGCAATTAACATCAACAGCTGCAACAGCAACAACTACAGCAAACACAACAACAACAACACCTGAAGAAGCATCAAACAAACCACCCTCCGACATTTGCGCCAAGTCGTTTCTCTATCCAATCTCCCCCCCCCCCCCTCCCCTCCCACCCTCTTCCCTCTTTGTTCATCCAACCTCGCCCCCCCCCCCAAAAAAAAAGTATGCTGTATCTACTTTCATTCTTAATATCTTTGCAAAGACCGCCACCTTTCTATTGGACTGAAAGGCATTCGCTCAAACGTTACTAGATTAAAAACAACAATAAAGCCTTTGCAATCGTAGAAAACAAATCAAAATGAAATTATAAGTTTCAGATTCCTGAAGCGCACGGCTCTTATTCAAGTTTCTGATACTTTTATCGACGAGTTTTGCTTTTAGTTGACAGCTTTGTTCTCTTGACGGGGTGGTAGAGTAAATAATGTGGGGCCTTATAACTATTTTTTCTCTGCTCAGGAATGATGTGGACGAGTTAAGGGTTTTAGAAAAACCACCTAGACCTTTCCCGTTATGAGGAGAAAAGGGACATGGAGAAGATCTGAGCTTCTGAGATCTAACAACGTCACGGAAGGTAGGGGAAGTAGGTGCATGAACGAAAGAAGAAGAAGAAGAAGAAGAAGAAGAAGAAGAAGAAGAAGAAGAAGAAGAAGAAGAAGAAGAAGAAGAAGAAGAAGAAGAAGAAGAAG